CAAAGTTTTTCCGCTATACAAGGTATCATTTCACATTTTTATAGACTAATATCTAATATTTTTAAATTTTTCATAAATGAAATTGCCTATCCTAAGTATATGCCTCCATAGTCGTTTATTTCGTTTTGGTCAAAACTTATGTCTAAACTTATTAAGTATTGCTTTTTTAAAAGGGAAAAGCATAACTCTTACATTCCTTCAGTTCGTATTCCACAATTTGCTATGTATAAATTTAATATTTAAAGTTAGTTCATTATACTTATGCCTTAAGACAATTCAAATATATGCTTATCTAGTTATTATATTGACTATTTTTATTATTATTATTTTTGTTAAAAAAAAAAAAATATTTATAAATTAAAATTCATTTTTTTAAAAACGTTAAAAATAAAGATAAATGTATCAAATTTTAAAATCCTTGCATTCCTTTATATAAAGTTTCTATTTATTGAATATTCTCCAAATGACAGTCGTTAAATTTTAAATGTAAACTTTAAAGATTTAAATTATATAAGGCAATCCCTAATTCATCTACATTATATACTAGTTCTTTTGTTTTTGATATTGATATTCCTAATGATTATAGATATTTATTTACTCTTATAAATTTAGATAATCTTTCAAAAGAAATGGATGTGTTTTCGTCAAAATTAAAGTCTATATTTCTTAATTATTTTAATTATAAATAATTAAAAAGAATATTTATTTAATTTGCATCTATTCTGCATTCATCCATCGTTAACGTAAATTCATTTATATTGAAATAATATTAAGATATTATATTTGAGAATTATTTAAAATAATCATCGTGTATTGATTAGTTACATATAAATATGTATAAACTGGTCATATTTTTCAAATATTATTATTAATTTCCTGTAAATAATAATAAAAATAAACAAACTAATTAAAATTTAAATCCAGAAGAAAGAAAATTAAGCTCCAAATATTTCAATTATGGCAAATATATATTTTATTGTTAATAATAATCAAAGAAACTTTAATAATTAAATTCTATTAAATCAGTTTAATCAAATTCTAATTACAAATGTTCTAATAAAACTAAGTTTTAAAGATTTGTAAGCTTTTTTTTTTTCATAAAAAAAAAAATGGATATTTAATTTTGTGTTTTTAAATATTTAATTTTATTTATATATACTTTTAATATTAAAAATCAAATTTATTATTTCTTTTTAAATTTTTTTTTTTTTTAAATTTTTTTTTAATTTTTTTTTTTTTTTTATTATTTACTAATTTTTAAATTTAATTCTATTTAATAGCAGCTCTATTATATATATAGACAAACTTATTCAAATTTTTCATTTAAGAAACTGCAGTAGTAAAATTCTCATAAAAAGAATCTAAAAGATGACACCCTGAAAGATTAATTTCAAAAACTTTAAGATTAGAAAATTTTAAAAAAACTTATGAAAAATCTCTTTATTAATAAAAATCTAATCTCATATCGTTTTTACTTAAATTAAGTTTTAAATTTTAAACATTTAAATGATCTAAAACAGAATTTTCTAAGAAATTCTATAAAACAAGGAAATTCAATTTACATCTAAAAAAAGTAAGGCATATATTATTAAAATTAAATTTGGGAATATTTTAAATGCAATTGTTTACATTTATTTATTTGTCTTCAAAATTTAATTCTATTTCTTTCAATTTATTTTATTAACTTAAAAAAAGCCTTAATTGTTCCAAATTTTCTATATAATTATTCAGTAAGCCTAAATCTATTACTTATAATTTTTAAGAATGCATCAAATTTTTAAATAAATGGTTTAAACCAGCATTTTCTATTCTTATATTATTCAAATACAATTGTAAATTTTTCAGATTATATTTATAATTTAAACCTTCACAAAATAAAAAAAAACTTTTCATATTTAATTACATATCCTAAAAACTTAAACATAAAGATTTTAACTCATTTTGGTGTTTTAATCCTTCTCCTATATATTAAGTCATATTATATTAATTATTTTCATCTAAAATTAATTGAAAAGTTTCTAAAAAACCAATACTATTAAGTAAATTTCGAATGTAAATTCCACTTTAATCACTTAAATAGCAATCTAATAATCCTAATGATAAACCTTTTGTATATTTATATATATATATGTATATAATATTTTTTATAATTTACTTTATAGATTATAAAATTATGATAACGTATTGCATAATAAAAGAATTTATTAATCTTCAATATTATCATTTTTCCATATTTATAATTAAAATTTATTAACTTTATCTTTAAATCTTAAAAAATGCTAACACATAAGTTCAAATTATTACTTTTCGATATTACATGATTAAAAAGAAAGCCCTAGAGAATATATATTAGGAAAATAATCATCTAAAAATTCAAACAAAATATTCAAATCTAAATCATAAATTAAGTTACAATCTAGATTTAGGAAAATTTTTTTCAAAGTATTATTTATTTAAGGTATTTATATTTTATTTTCCTGAAATATACGAGTTTGCTAAAAACACGATTTTAAATTTAAATTTAATTTAATTAAATTTTTGAGTGAAAAAAAAGAAATAATTATATTTTGAAACTATTTTGGAGTTATTTTTATATTTACAAAACTTAAATTTAAAAAAAGAATATTTTAATAAAAGTTTTTCATAGATTTATCAAATTAATTGATTATTTTTTTATCACAATATTAATTGAATTTAATGTTAATATGTTTTACTTAATTTTTTTTCTCGTTTAGTATTTCTTTTAATTATAAAACATTTATTTCTCCATCTAAATTTATGCTTTAAAATTTTAAATATTATTTATATTTTTTAATGTATTCTTAACATATTTAATGACATTTTTATAAATCATTATTATTAATAATTAATTCTTGTAATAATTCTTATAATAAATCTTATTTTTGTGATGGGTTTTCTTGCTAATCGTTTAAATATTATTTTTGTATATTTTTAAATTGCTATTTTTGTTTTTCGATGTATTTTTATTGTTTTTTATTACTTTTAGATTATTTTATATCTTACTTATGCTCATTTTAATTTATCTAATTATTTTTTCTTTTAGAACTAAATTATAATCTATATAATATGAATATATATTATAAAAAATATACATATGTATTTTTATAATATTATTTTTTACCCAATTTTTTATATTTTTTTATGTTTTCCAGTTTTTTTAAATAAAACTGTTTTTTTGTCTTTTACAAGGAGGTTAAGTTCTTACTATTTATTTTCATTTAATTTTTCAATTTGTTTTATTGCAAATAAGAATATATCTTATTTTTTGCTAGTTAAATCTTTTTTTTATATTTAGCTTAATGCACATAATATAATCTTTTGAATACAATTACTATATTAGTAATTTTCTAAATTTTATTATGCTTAAAAAATTAAAGGATTCCATAATATTTCAGTTCCCTTTTAAACAAATAATAGATTTTATTTAGATTAGAAAGTAATATTCAATTCTTGAAATTATTTTAAATCATTTATCATTTAGCAAACCCATTTTATTATATTAAATGAATTAACATTTTAATAATCTATTTAGCTAGAGTAATTTTAAGTTATTATTTAAAACTGATTTTTGCTTTCTAATATTTGATATAGAATTAATAAATTATTAAAAAATTTTTAATTTTGTTTCATAGTTTTTATATTCTTTATAAATTATTCATCATTCTAATCACGAATTTGTATAGTTATCTAAGTATATTTCTTATTTATTTAATCTTTTACTTAAAGTGTTTTTATGGTTAAATTATTAAAAGAAAATAAATCTTTTGTAGGGTCTTATATTAAATTTTAAAGAAAATAATTTTCCATATATAATAATATTTATTTATTTTTAAAATTTTTGTAAAAATAAAAAAGTAATTTTAAATTTTTTATTTTTTTTTGTTTTGAAAAAAAGAAATAATTAATAATATTTTTTTAATAAAATAATTATAAATAAAAAACTAAATGAATGTTTATTATTATTATAAAAGAGTTTATTTTTTTAAAAAAAATTTAGCTTTTTAATTTAACCAATATTTTTCAAATTTTATTTTTATTTAAATTATTTTTTTTTTTCGTAATTATTATTATATAAAATTGTTTTTACTTTTTAAAAAATATTTATTAAATATTTTAATTTTTTTTTTTTAATTAATAATATAAAAAAATTATTAACATTTTATTTATTAATTAAATAAATGTTTATGAATAAATAAATTTTATTTTATTATTAAATATTTTTTTTTTATTTATTTATTCAAATAATTAAAATAAAAATATTTAAGTTTATATAATGAAAGTTAAGACGAATAAAATATTTATTTATCAATTTTCTTATAAAAATTATTACAAATACTTTAATTATAAAATAATTTATTATTTTGCTTTATTTTTAACTATAATATAATTGGCATCTTAAATTATTGTATTTCGTTTATTTATTTGTATTATATTCTTTTATAAATAAAAATTAAAATGTAGTATTATATATTTTTACAATTTCAATGATAAATATATTTAAGAAAAAAATAATTTATAATAAAACTTAATTATTTAAATATATATTTTTTTTTACTTTTTTCTTTTTCAATTTTGTTTTTTATATATTTATTATATAAAATATGTACCTTTTTTATACAAATTCTACGTATATATAACATATGAATATCTTATAATCTAATATATTGCGTCAATATAATCATCATAATTAATACGTAATGTAAATTTAAAATTAAAAATTGTAAAAATATATATATTTTATTAGAAAAAATATATGTAATTTTCTAAAAAAAAAATTTAATTTTTCTAATATAAGTCAACAAAAACCAAAAACTATATTTATTTTTTAATATATTAATATTAAAAAATAAAAAAATATTAAATAAAAGTAAAAAAAAGAAAAGAAAAGAAAATTAAAAAAAATAAAAGAAAAGAATAAAATAAAATGAAAAAAAATATGTATGATTCATTAAAAAATAGTGCAACTAATCTTAAAACAAATTCCACAAATACTCCATTCGATTCAGCCTAAAATCTACAAAACCAAAAGCCTTATTTTACAAAATTAAATAGGTCAAATTCATTAATAAATCCTTCCATAAAATTTTTCAATCAAGATTTGAATTAATAATATTAACAAGATTCTAGCAAATTTATTTGCAAATTATAATACCCTTAATATACAGTAGAAAGAAAATTTATAAAAACAAATACAACAGGAATTAAATTATACTACACTAATTTTCGTCCAATTGCAGAAAAAAACTCAGAAGCATAAATTTTAATAATTCATGGTTTATATGAACATTCTGGCCTATATATAAATGTTTTTAAATTATTAATCTTTTATTTATTTTATTTTAATTAAAGTTCGCTGATTATTTTGCAAAATAAGGTTTTTAAGTCCATATATATGACTAAAGGGGATATGGATATTCTTCAGGAATTTCAAGAAATATGTCCACTGAAGAATTTTAATAAGATCTCACTATTATATTATAAAATATAGATAAAGAACTTCCTTTATACGTATATAGCCATAGTAGTGGTGTTATTAATTTATTAAGTTATCTTATTATGAATCCCTAAATTTAAGTCAATGGAATTATTGGTTTGAATTCGTTTTTAGATGTTCCAAAATAATTTAAAATGAATTTTTTTAGGAAACTTATATCCAAAACAGCATTAATATTTTATGAAGTAATTTTTAAGAATTTATATAAATATAATATAATATGAAATTTATTTATAATATATTTTTCTATTATTATTATAAAATTATAAAAATTTATATTATTTAAATATATTTTTTTATTTATTAATTATTTTTAATTTTAATAAATAAAGGATATAATTATAAATAGTAAAATAAACTTATCTGCATTATGTAAAAATAGTTACCATATAAAAAAAATAATTAAAGATTATAATATTATGCCACATTTAACTTTAAGAATGGCTTTATCATTAGTAGATACTTCCTAATATGTGAGTAGAAATGCCTAATATATAAAAACTCCAATATGTTTAATGCATGGAAAGGATGATGTAATAAGTAAATATAAGAACACATAAATATTATATAACTTGGTTTAATCTAATATAAAAACAAAAATTGAAATTGAAGGAGGATTACATTAGCCCCATTTAGATACAAATTATGAAGCTATACATTAAAGAATTTTGGATTGGATTTTAAATTAAAATGAAAAGGCTAAACCTTTATTAAAGGATTTTTAATTAAAAAATACTTAATTTGGATTAAAAAATAAATTTAAATAAAATACTAGTAAATATATTTTATTAATAATACTTGGATTTATAATTGTTTACCTAAATAATAATTGTAAATATTCTTAAAATTTAAAAAGGTTTAAATGCTTTCTAATATATTTCCTTATTAAGAACAAAAATAAATGCTGAAAATTGAAAATATTTTATAATAATATATATTCATATTTTATATAAAAAACTATAATAAACTATCTGTAAAATACTTTTTTAATATTTATTTATTTATATTTTTTTGTGTTTTCAATATTTATATTAATATTATTTAAATTTTTTGTAAATATATATTTTTTAAATGTATTTATAAAAAAATACAAAAAACATATAATTTTAGAAATTAATAATTAATAAAAATAATAATTTCTTTTAAAAAAATTAATAATTAATAATTAAAAATTAAAATAATAATTTTATTTTTAAAAGTTATTATTTTGATTTTGTAACTTTTAATTTTCAGTATATATAAATGGAAAACATATTAATAAATATTTTAAAATACAATATTAAAAATTACGAATTCATTTCTATTTAATTTCTAAATTTTTTTTAAAAAATAATTATGAAATATATAAAATGCTAAAAAACAAAAAAATAAACTTCATTTAAAATATTTTAATAAAATTTACAAATAATCATGTAATATTATATATATATATATATTTATTTAATTTAATTTATTTAAAATAAAAATAAAATATATTTTTTAATTATGAAATCAAATAGTCTATTTACTTAAAGATTTTAAACTGTATAATAATTCATTCCTTAAGAAAAAATCATAAAAGTAAAAATAAGACAAAATAAAATGAATATTTAAAAATGCATTATTTTATATATTAGTATCGGGAGAATATGTTCCTGAAACTAAATATAATGAAATACCTATTAAAAATTTAAATTTGGTTGAATATTAGAAGAAGAAGGTTCCATATGACAATTTAAAAGCTAAATTAATAAATATAGATTTATGTAAAATTGATTAATAGCAAGAAAAAATGTAAAATAGTTTCGAGGCAAACTGTTTATATTTATCAAGCTCTTAAAACAATTTAAATTTAATAAATAATAAATATAAAAACGAAGTTGCGTGTAAGAGTAATAATTAAATTTAAATAGGGAGTAACATGAAAAAAAATAATTAAAGTTAGAAATAATAGAAACATTTGCAAAATTTTTCGAATTCAATATCTATAACGTGTTAGCCAAATATTATATGTAAAACTGTTTATGAAGATAAAAATAATAAAAAGAAAAAAAATATAATTAATATAATGTAAATTGAAAATAAATAATAAAAAGGATATATGAGCCAAAAAAATAGCAAACAATATATTGAAAATGACTTAAATTATCTTAATAAAAATAATATAAAAAATATAAATTAATTTACAATTATTTAAAACAATTCTTTAAATTTAAAATTATATTAAGGAAAGGAGTTAGAACAAAAACAAAAAAGCATAGAAAATATTGAAAAAAAATACAAAATTTTATAAATAATCCTATATAAATTTAAACAAGAAATGAAAGGGCATAAAATATTAACGATTATTTTATTAAAAAAGAAGAAAATATAACAAAAAAGATATTCTATAATAAAAATGATAATAATATAAATGATAAAAACGATAAAAATTATAAAAATGATAGAAATAATAAAAATGATAAACAAGATAAAAATTAGACAATAAATAATATAAATTAAAATATATTTAATTAATAAAATATTTAAAATAATAATAATCTTAATAATATTAATAATAATTATAATAATAATTTTTCAATGTAAAATTAATCTTAACAAATTAATATCAATTATTAAACATAATACCAATACATGAATGAAAATATAAAATAAAATATGTTATTCGAAAGTAATAATTTAAATAATATTTAAATTTAAAACATATTATAATAATAAAAACTATAAAATAATAAAAAACTCTCTAATTAATTTACTAATTATTTTAATTAAAATTAAAATAATAATACAAATTCAAATAATAATTAACTTAATATTAATTAAAAATAAATTGGAATAGAATTATATAATATTATTTCGAATATAGGATAAGGTAGTTATGGAAATATTTATCTTGTTTAACATAAAAATAATAAAAAATACTACGCTATGAAAGTCCTAAATAAAGAGCAATTAATAAGTTAATTATTTTTTATATATAATTATACATTTTATAATTAAAATAATTTTTAAATAACTTTTTTAAAAAATAAATGTAAATTTATAATATTATTTTTTACTTTTTTAGATAAAAATATGGTCAAATATGCAATAACTGAAAAGAATGTAATGCGTAAATGTAATTCTCCTTTTGTTGTAAAAATTTATCATGCATTTTAAACCGATAAATATTTAATAATAATTATTGATTATTGTCCAGGAGGTGATTTGTATTAGTATTTAATGGAATAAAAAAGGTTTATTTATATTTAAATATATAATTTTAATAATACTATATTTTTATTAAGATTTGATGAATAACTATCACTCAAATATTTATGTGAAGTATTAATAGCTGTAGAAGAACTTCATTGTAACAATATAATATATAGAGATATGAAACCTGAGAATATAGTTTTGTCAACAGATGGACATATAAAATTAATTGATTTTGGGTTATCTAAAGAATGTAATGGAATAGGAGTAGCTTCTACTTTTTGTGGGTCTGCAGTTTATTTAGCACCTGAAGTAATTAGTAAAAAAGGACATAATAAATCGGTGGATTGGTATTAATTTGGAATTTTGGCTTATGAATTGATGGTAGGACATCCTCCTTTTAACTAAATGGAAAGAAAACAATTATACTATAATATTTAAAATAGTAAAGTAGAGTTTCCCGACTTTTTGTCTGAAAATGCTAAATTATTAATTTAATAAGTTATTTATTTTATTTTTTAACTTGTTTTTTAAATATAAAAAATAGCTTTTAAATAAAAATCCAGATGAAAGGTTAGGAGCAGGTAAAAATGATGCTTAAGAAATAAAAAATCATATTTTTTTTAAAAATGTCAATTGGTTTGATGTATAATAAAAGTAAATAAATGATTTCAATAATTTTTTATATTATAATAAAAGTTATTTGTAAAATATTTTTATTTTTTAAATTTTATAGATTCTTTGAACTTCCAAAACCTTAATGTAAGTAAATGTTTGAAAATAAAATTGAAATAGACCTTAATTAAAATACTTTAAAATAAAATAATTTTATTGCTAATTGGTATTATTTAAATGAAGAAGAATTAATAATGTGAAATGCTTAAAAATCTATCGAAAATTAACTTTTATAAATTATTATGAATACATTAAAAGAGAATCAAAAAAAATATATATATATTATTATAAAAACTTATTAATTTATATTTTTAATAAAAAAAAAATTAATTTTTTTTAAATATTTCTTTTTTGTTAATATAATATGAATATAAATATTTTATTTTAAAATAATAATAAGACTTTAAATATATTATATTTAGAAATAAAGTTTATTCATTTTTTAATCTATTTATGTTTTTTTTAAAATTCATTGGTAGAAAAATTATTTATAATATTTATAACATCATTTATTTCTAAATTCAAGTCTGATTTTGTAAAACTACTAAAATAATAATTATAAATGTTTAATTTTAAAAAAATAACCTTCCTTCTTTGTCTTTTATTTCCATATCATTTATAGCTTTAGCTACACTAGCATCTGATTAAGACCAGAATTCTAACTCTGAATTTCTTTAAATTGTTGTAAATTAAGCAATTTACTATTAAAGTTATTCTTTTTTATTTTGATTATCTTCATAGGTTTTTATCGGCTTAAAAATTTAATTAAGATTATTTTCTTTATTCCTTTTTAAACTTTTTTTAATAATTTAAATTTATTAAGGACTATTTAAGCTTTTTTTATTTGTTTAGGGTTTAAAAGTACATTCTTTCATATTTTAAATACAAAAGTTTTATTCTTTTTTCTAAATTTTAAGTTTTTTGGTTTCTATCCATCTTTAATTCCTTTAGTGAAAATCTAAAGACGGAAAATCTCTCAAAGGACTTAGTGATATAAACTTTTTATTTATTTGTTTTTAGTATTTATTTTAAATTTCTTTTTCATAATTTTTATTTGAATTTTGAATTTCTGGACTTTTTATTTCCTTTTAAGAATTTTTTATTTCTGTTTCAGAATTTTTATTTAGATTTTTAATTTCAAAATATCTTTTAATTTCTCTATTGGAATTTTTAATTTCTTTTTAAGAATTTTTTCTGTTTTAATTTTCTGTATTTTTCTTATTTTAATTTTCTGAATTTTTTATTTCTTTTTCAGAATTTTAAATTTCTTGCTATTTATTTTCTTGTTATATTTATTATTCTAAATTTTAAATATCGTTTAATATATTTTATTTTTTTTCTTATATTATTTAAAGTAGTTATTTTTCAATAATTTAATCTCCATTTTTTTCCTGAATTTCTTCAATAGAATTTAAATTTTTCGGAGACTAAGATGAACTTTTATAAACTCTTTATTATTTAATATCTATTTTTGATTTTGGTTAAGCTTTCTTGTTATTTTCATATTTTTTTTGATTTAAATAAATTATTTCTTATTTTAACTTTTATGAAGTTTATTTTTGTATAGGAGATATACAAACTAATGATATTTTATTTTCATTTTATGCAGGATTTGTTTGTAATTTAGGAATTAAATCAAGGCTTGTTTTTAAAAAATCTTAAATAGTTTTTTTTTTACAATTTTCATATTTTTTTAATGCATTTTAGACTTCTTGATGAATGTCTTTAAGCAGTTATTTACTTTTCTTATTTGTTTAAGTTTTTTTCTTTCTTTTTTGTTAAGAAACTTCTACTTGAATAGTTTCTGCAATTTACGAAATTAATTAAAGTTTCTATTCATTTGTAAGTTTTTCCTTTATTATTTTTTAAAATATAGGGTCTATTATTTAATTAATATCAATTTTATCATCAAAATTTTTTATTATTATTTCGTTTGCATTTTCTTAATTTTATTTTAGATTTTATTACTCTTTTTATTCTTAATTTTATATATTTTATTACCTTTTATTTTCTTATTCTAAATTTTGTATGTTTTCTTATTCTAAATTTACTTAATTATTTGTTTCTTCTGTTTTAAAGTTTTGGAAAATAATTTAATTATACTTAGATTATGAAGTAACATTTTAATTGTCAAAAGTTTCTATTTTATCATAATTTTTTAAGTTAATATTATTAATATTACTTTATATTGATTAATTCTTATTTTCATTAGAAATATTAAAATTTTAAAACTCATTTTTATATTGATCTATATTATTTTCGTTCTGAAAAATATCTATAGAAGGATTTTAATAAATTTTTTATTACAAATCACTTATTAAATTGTTTACATTTTCATTTTAAATAATATCTATAGAATGATTTTAATTAATTGTTTTTTGCAGATAAATGTCATTTAATGTGTCGCTTACTTAGCAATTGCTTTACTTATTAATACTTTAATCCTATATGATATATAATTAACTAAGGCCTTATTATAGATATGCATCTTTATTTATATCACTTGCTAAATTTTTATCAATATTTTATTATTAATTATTTTCATAGTATAAAATATCCTAAATACTTTTTTTTTTAATATTTTCATTATCTATAAAATCTTAATAAGACTTTTAATTATGATTTTATTAAGGATAAATCTCTATGTATCTATCATTTATTATATTATTTTATTATTAAATATTTTAGCAAATATTATTTATATTTGTAGAGAAGTTATATTCATTATTATTATTATTATTTTAATAATTTCTTTTTTAATTGAAATTTTCTTTATTTTTAATACAACACTCATCATTTATTTAATTTTAAATTTTATCTATATATTAATCAACTTAAGTTTTTATAATATTATTTTACTATTTAGATATTAATGTATAGTTTTAATCTTATTTTTTTTATATTTCATTTATGTTATCATTGTTTTAAATTGTTTCGTATTATAAATATTCATAATTTTAATCATTGGACTTTTAATATATTGTATTTTCTAAAAAAGGAAGAGTAAAATATAAGCTTTTCTATATTTCACTTTTTATTTTTTATATTTAAATAATTATATTATAAAAATACTCTTATGAATACATATTTTATATATTTATTTATGGTAATTCACAATTTAAGAATTCACTTTTTTAATGAAAAGAATTTATAATTTAATTTTATAATATATAAATGTTTTACTTTTACAATGTATTTTTTAAAAAGGAATTATTATAATCATATTATTAATTAGAGGTCATTTTATTTAATAGAAATAAAAGTTGAAGAAAAACAAATAAACAAAATAATAAAATTATTATAAAAAAATAAATTTATGAGAAAGTTAAAAAAAAAAAAAAATTAAGTTATAATATATATTTTTTTAATATGAAAAATATATTTTATAAGAAAAATTAAATTATACTATCATAAATTCAAATTAAATATATATAATAATTTTTTTTTTTCGAAATATTTTTTAGTTTTTTTTTGAAAAAAATAAAATAAATATATAAATTATTATTTATAAATTTATGAATATTTCTGAATTGTAAAGAACAACTCTTATAAATACAGTAAAAATAAAAATTAAATAAAAAATAATGTTGCTTTTATATTTTATAGATGAAAGAGTTGTTTAAAAAGGAAAATTTTACAAAAAATAATTTCCTGATTAATAGAATTAATAATATATAAAAAATGACAATCCCAATTGATTTATTAAAAAATGAAAGGTCTTTTGGACATGATATGACAGTCGAAACATTGAAAGCTGTAAAAAAAAATCTATATATTAAATGATTATATTTATTTAAAAAATTATATTAAAATACTTTATTTAAAAAAAGATTTTATAATATCCTGAATTAAAAGAACATATAAATTATAACGAATAAGAAAATACTGTGGCCCCAACATGGAAAAAATTAAGAAATAATATATTTTTTGTATAAATAGATAATAAAAATATTGAACTATTCAAAAAAGCGATAAAATAAAAAATTGAGGAATTAAAATTAGAAGCTGTATAAAAATATATATATAAATATATAATATATATAAATATATAAATATATAAAATATATAAAATATAAAATTTTTTTTTTTTTAATTTATATATAAAATTTTATATTTGAAAAATATTTAAGTAAGTCTATATATAAAACGGTTATATAAAAGTTGTAATGACAAACTAATATTTAGGAGAATAGCATGCAAGAGAAATTTTTAATTAGTTTTTCGGATAGAAGATAAATGTTAAATAAAATATTATTTATAATATAAATATTTAAAAAATAGAATATTGATGTAAATTGTTATATAGAAGAAGAAAAATATATTCCATAACATTATGTATAAAACTTTAATAAATAAAATATATAAATATAATAATAATAATAATAATAATAATAATAATAACATATTTAAAAAATTTTATTAACAATAATTAAGTTGACTTTAGTTAAATTTAATAATAATATTTTTAATTTTTTTAAATTTAATAGTATTTGTATTAATAATAGTAATAATAATATATGCAAAATATGTATTTTATGAATGATTAATAATTTAAAGAAAGACAACCTCAATAATTCTAAAATAATTTATTTAATTAATAACGGTTTTAATAAAATTAATTTTAAAATAGGTAATAACAAGAAAATTATAGGCAAAATAAAAACTTTAAATAAGGAAATAAAAATTATTAATAATTTTAATAAAATAGGAGAAATTTAAAGATAGCTTATGAAATGAATTAAGAAGATTTTCCTACTTTTGAATGAGATAATTATAAATTTTTTTTTGAATAATATTAATAAAACATTCAAATTTAAGTTTATACTTTTTTTTATTATTGAAATATTATTCAATATAATAAAAAAATAATAATTTATCATTTATTTATAAAATAAATAAATTACTTAAAAATAAAATAATATTAAATATCATAAATATCAAATAATTATTTAAACAATAAATTAATTTCTTTTATATAATAAAAATATTTATTTATTTATTTATTTATATTTTTTGTAATTTTATTGTATTATTTATTGGTTCTTAACTTCCTTCATAAAATATGTTTATGTGTATTAAAAAATATGATAAATAATTTTATTATTAAAAAATACTATTTTATTATGATTAATTTTTTTTATAAAAGAAATAAACATTATATTTTTCAAAAAAAATTAAAATGGGTTAACATATATGTTATTTAGAATAAAAAAGAAAGTAAAGAAATTTATCAGATATAAGTAAAACTAAATTAAATTTAAGAAATATTCCTTATATAGAGGATTATAATAATCTTGAAGCTTTAAAAGATACATAAAAAATAATTAATAATAATATGAATATGAATATGAATATGAATATGAATATGAATATGAATATGAATATGAATATGAATATGAATATGAATATGAATATGAATATGAATAATGATACTTTAGATAATTTAAATTATGAAGGAGAATGTTCTAAAAGCTTATCAAATATTTCAAAAAGTAGTAATAAAGTTAGCCGTCATTATTATTATAATTTAATTGAGAATAATTTATATAATACAAATTAAAAAATATAAAAAAATGATATATATATGTAATAAAATGTTTTTATTAATAGCATAAAATAAAAATAATATGAAACTGACTACTTAGAAGATTTTAATGAAAATTAAATTAAATCAGAAAAAATAAAAAAAAAAGTTTTAAATTAAAATCATAAAATAAATTAAATATGTTTTGTTTGATATTTTTTTTTATTTTTGTACATTTTTTATTTTAATAATATATAAAAATATTTTTTTATTAACATAATACCTATTTTAATTAATTCATATTTTATTTCTTTTATAAATAAATTAACAAAAATAACTCAAATAAAATTTACTAAAAATTATTTTAATTATATATGAATTTTTTTATTTAATATTTTAATTAATTATTTTTATAAATAATATTTTTTATTTTTTTCATAATTTAGTTTTACAAATTGGACATTATCTCTTAATTTTCATCCAATCATCTATACAGTTTTGATGAAATTTATGAAAACATTTAATTAAAACAATATTCTAATTTTAATCTAATAAGAACTAAGTATAACATATGGGACATTCTTCATCTTTTTAAATATTTTTTTCTTCCAAAAAAATATATATATTAGTTTTCTTTTAGTTTTTTATTTAATATATTTTTTTTTGTATTTAGCTGTTTTTTTATAAAAGATTTTAATTCGTTTATTTAATTATTTATTAATTTTCTTAATTAAAATAGTCCCTAATTTAATCTCTATTCGCAAGTAAAATTTAAGTTGTTTATTTTATTTCGAATTCTTATAATTAATAATTATTATTTGATTTTTGTATATTTTTGCAAATCTAAATATGTGAACCTAATATGTATTAAGGAAAAGACACTTAACATAATTAACAAGGATTTAATTTATATTTGCATTATAATTAATGCAAATTTAAATCTTAAAGGACTATTTTTTAACAATATTAGCAGGATTATTATTATTCATTCATTTGATCTTATATATTAGCTTAGTATTGTTATTAATTTTATATTTAATAATTCTTGATTTAAAATGACTTTTTTAATTATATATTTTGAAGCATATGAATAAATTTTTTGCAAAAACAATATATTTAAATATATATATATATTTATTTATTTATATATTTATATATAATATTATCATAAAAATTTGTTATATAAATTAATAAAAAAAATATTAAATTAATAGTTTTTTATAATTTATATACAAAAAACTAAATATATATATATAAATAAATTAAGAAAAGTAATTAAAAAAAATCATCTAAGGAAATTATTTTTAGCTATAAGTAAAGAAGTGTGTACAGTTTTTTATACGTCACCCTTACTTCCAGGAAAGACATTCCAGAATCTCAAAGTTTCATCGCCGGCCCCAGTAACAATTGTCTATCCATCCGGACTCATCGCCAAATATAAAACCCTGCACGAATGTCCTGTTAATGTGGTAATTTTATCCATTTCAGGCACACTCCATATAATAATTTAATTCTCTGAATACCCGTGTGTGCTAACTAATTCATTTAAATTTTTACTAAAAACCAAATTACAAACCTAACTTCCTGTTTCTATGCATTCCAACTATTTTCCCGTTAAAATATTCCAGAATCTAATCATTCTATCTTAAGTTCCTCCTCCAGAAACTAATAATCCATGCTAATGTGGGGACCAAGCTAATGCCTTTACAGCTGCGTTATGGTTAGTGAATTATTACATTGGCTTATTCGAATGCTTATTCCATACATGAAGCCTATTATCGTTTCCTCCTGATGCCAAATATTGTTCGTCAAAAGACCATTTTAAACCACATACTTCTTATTTATGGCCTATATATTTTTATTCGAATATATTTTTGCTTCGAATATCTCTTATTAATATATTCTTATCGCGAGAACCTGATGTCAATATATTTTAATTCCTATTTTTTGTTTTAAATGAATAAATTTATTTATTATAAATAATATAATACCATGCTAATGTTCCTACTCTTTAACTATGTCCTGATAAAACTCTTAATTATTCCATTTTAACATTATCCCATATTTCTACATCTCCTGTATTTGTTCCTATGGCAATTAAAGGATTTTAACTACACCAATTCACAGATGTAACTTCATTTACTCTTCCAAAATCACACAATTTAGTTACTTTAGAAGAGCTGGCACTATTTATTTTTTAAATTAATATAAAAAAAATAAAAAATTACCTCCATAAATAAACACATGAAGTCAAACCTACTGCAAGTACATTCTAACTTGACCAATCTATAAGATTTAAATAAAAATCATCTTATAAGGCAGGCGCATCTAGAACTTTATATGGAGCTTTTGAGATTTTACGAATGTTTCTAATTTTTGAACAACATGAATCGTGAATTGGATTATGAAAAAACTCATTTTAATTTAAGGGCCTAAGTATTTATTTTTAAAAATTATATAGACTTGGCTCATTTTTGAATTTTAATATATTTTGATTTTTAAAAGGACAATATATATGCTAAGGATCTGCTAACTTATGGTCTTTTATTCCTAATACATAGTTTTTATATAGTTGAGAAATTGTAATTTGATTTAATTCTACTTTATCAACTGAATTCTTTATTTGGACACCATCTGCATCAATGTTGCTTGGGTCAAATTAGTATGAGTTTTCATTATATTCATGTGCTTGATATGTGTCTAATTTAGAAGTTTTTCTATTCGGAATAAAACGGTCCATTATGTTTGATTTGTTGCTTGGCTTTTATGTTTAAAGGTTGGCGTTGTAGATTTACTAAAATTTTTATTTTTTGAAACTGATATCAAAATCTTAGGGGATAGAACAATCTGTTGTGGAGGATTGGTTATTTTCATTTTGATAAGATATTGGTTCACTATTTATTTCTAAAATTTAATCTTTTTAATTCATTTAATTTTCTTTTTTAAATAATAATGTTTTTTTCTTTCTTTTTTTAGATTGTTTTTTTTGGAAATATTTTGTTTTTTGGCTTTGCTTTAATTATATATATATATATATATATTTTTTATTAATTTATCTTGATATCTATTGATTTTTTAAAAAATAGTTTATATTTTTTTATATAATTTATTAGTGGTTGAATTAATAAATTAATTAAAATATAATCAACAATTTCCAATGATTAAAATAAAAAATTAAATAATATAATTGTTTTTTTAAAAATACATATTACTTATTAAAATTGTTATTTTATTTTTCTCTAAATTTTTAAAAAATTCAATAAAAAAATAAAGGACATAACACATTATTTCTATTTTATTTTTTGGCAATTGTAGTTTATTAAAAAAATACAAAAAAAATAATAATATTAAAAATTAATATTTGCGTTTTGTTAATTTATGATATTTTATAAATTTCTTATATAAATTAATTATATATTTTCTATTTTATAATAAGTATATGCATTTATATTTTTATGAATAAAAATTGAAATGTATTTTTTATTTAATTTGAATATTTTTTTATAGAAAGATAAAATATATATTGATTTGTTTTCTATAAAATAAAAAAATAATTAAAAATTAATCTAAAAATAGATGATTTTTGTGAATAAAATAAAAAGAATATGAAAAAAAATATAAATTAAAATTTAAATTATTTTTTTATAAATATTTAATAAAAAAATATGCATAAAAAATTTAGCATATGCAAAAAATACTTTTCTATAATCAATATTAATATTATTATATATATTAAAAAATTATTATATTTATAAAATCTAGTGTTTTTTAATAATAAATACAAAATAAATTTTTTATTTAGAAATATTTTAAATGTAAGGAAATAATAAAAAGAAAAATAATAAAAAACAATATTTGATGCTATTGAAGATGGTGATGATGATCTTTTCGATTAAATTATGGCACAAAACCCTTAATGTGTTACTAAAAGGAATATAAATGGATGGACTCCTTTGCATTAAGCAGCGTATTATGGTGAAGAACAAATGCTTTTAGAATTACTTGAATAAAAACATGAAATAAATGCAGTATGTAATGATGGAGACACAGCTCTTCACTATGCAGCTGCTTAAGGACATTAAAATATTATATAGGTTTTAGTTTAAAATGGAGCTAATTTATTAATAAAAGATAAAGATGAATAAACACATAGAGATGTTGCAGAAAAAAAAAGATTAAAGATTTTATCGAAAACATAATTTAAAATCCAGTAGAAGCCTAAAATTAAATATCTGATGAAGAAAATTAATACTCTGATGAAAATGATTAAAATAAAATTGAAATAAAATAAATTTAAATATAATAAATTATATATTTTATATATAAATTTTTATTATAAATATATAAAAAAAAAATATATATATAATTTTAGTTTATTTTATTTTATTTTAAAATTATTTAAAATATATATTATTATATTGAATATATTAATATAAATATATATAAATATATATATATATATATATATATATATATATAAATATATATATATATCTCTAAATATATGCTTATACTTAAAGAATTATTTCCTATAATTTTTTTTAGCATATTATTTTAAAAGTAATAAATTTTATAATAAACATATTAAAATATATTTTTAATTTTACCATAAGAATTAAGTTTTTAATACTTATACTTATTTATATTGCTTAAGTTTATATAAATTATACTTATTTTTTTTAGGATTTTGAATTATGAATAATTTAAAAAGTTCATCCCTATAATAAATTTTGAATTCTACCTCATAAAATAAGTACAAAACTTTTTAAAAAGAATATTTTTAAAAATTTACATAATATATAACATTAATAAATTTTATTTTTTTAAAAAAGTAAAAAAATAAAGTTATTAATCCAGAAATTAATGTTTTCATTTATTTATTATTTTATAAAACAACTTTAAATAAAATTAAAAAAAATAGAAATTATTTATACATTTTAAATTTATTCTTTTTATTTTGAAAAATAATATAAATTTTATTTTTAATTTTTTCTCTATTAAATAATATTTATTATTAAAAATTTAATTTTAATATCATTTTATATTTAATTTTTGCTTTAATAATTATTTAGCAAATTATAATTTTTTAATTTTTTTACTTTCATCTAAATCGTAACATTCTTAATAATTAATGTCGAAAATCTCAACATTTTAAAATTTATTTTAAATATGAAATTTTTTAAGTAAATATTTTTTATTAAATCTATTTTAATTACCAATAAAATGATAAGGTCCGTTTATTTCAATAATTAATTAATGTGAAGGAATATAAATATCGCAGTTGTAAATAAGAAACTATTTTTCAACTTCAAATTAAACATTTAATTTTTTCAAAATATTTATAATTTCTATAAAAAAGTTAGAAGTATTTAAATCATGTACATTTTTTTGAACTTCAGTATTTTCTAAATTTATTTCATTTTCAAATTAATCATCTAAAATACTTAAAGTTAAATAAAAAGATTTTTTCATTAATTATTTTTCTACACTATTTAAACTAGGTTTTTTTAAAGTTTAGATTATTTTAAACAATTCGTCCTTTTAATTTTAATAAGTAATTCCAGGAATTTCACCATTAAATATATTCATAAAAAATACAGAAAAAATATAGAAAATATTTGCATATAACTCTTCATTTATATATTAAATATGGTTAATAAAAAAAGATTTAATTTATAAAAAGAACTGCTTACTAATCACAAAATCACTGAAAGCATAACTTTTAATAATGCTAACCATATGCCAATATTAAAACTATTAAAATGAAAAATTATTTAAACATGTAGAAATATGTTTTTGAAATAATTAATAAAGTTCTGAATCACAAAAGTTTAATTTTGAACAAATAAAAAATAAACCTGCTATTCCATTAAACGTAAATTAATCTATTATTGTCTATTGATTATATAAAAGAAGTTGTTATATAGTATTTTATATCAATAAATTTTAACTTTCATTATTAAATTATGTTGAAGCAGTTAGTATTTTAGTAAAAACAGTTATTTTATCTTAGAAATTATATTAAAATTCATATTGAGGCGGTAATTATATATAATTAGGATTTTAACGTAATTTCAATGCATTTTTATTATCTTCTTAAAATAATTAGAAAATTTTCATTCTTATCTTCAAAGGAATATCAATTAAATAATTATATTAGAATATATTATAAACATTTCTGGAAGTTAAAATATCTTATTTTTAAATAATTTCAATGCATATATTAAATAGTTCACTACTTTTTTTTTAAATTATAGATAAATTCTTGCAAATTAAATCGATAATAACATGGCTAAAATTTGTATTTTATATATTATTATGTGATTTTTATTTTATTGAAAGAACATAATTATTAAATTTATTAAATTAATTTGTAATAATCGCCAATATTATTATTTATATTTAATTTTAAAAATTTTGTATATTACTAAAGTTTGAAGATAGTAAAACTGTGAATTTATAATGAATTTATTTATAATTTACTTCTTATTCTAGTCCAAGTATATTAATATTCAAACTTAAATAGGAATAAATTTAAAGTATTATCTTAATATTTACTTTTTATGAAATAATGACATGTAATTTATTTATCAAAAGATTTCTTAGTTTGTTGTTTTTAGTGAATCTTGTGTTAGATTCTTAATTTAAATAAATGCAAATATCAGTAATATTGCTAAAGTCTATTTTATTATGTTCATTGTGAAAATACATCTTGTTCATTACAACATTAGTATTTAATTTATGTTTACAGCAAAAATACATTATTTATCTCATTTTTTTTAATTCAATATTCCATTCGCATTCATGGTAAAAAATGGAAAGAATCAAATTTTATAATACATTTTAATATGCTTAGTGCAAATATATAGGCAATTGCTCGTATAATTCAAAAATTTATATCAAGTTATCAATTATTTTATTTGTTAAATTAGATGTTATTTATTTTTAAGATGCATTTAAATATAAGCAATAAATTTTTTCTCTAAAAACAATATCCATAGTTTTACTTTCAATATTTTTTTTTATTAATTCAATTAAAACATTTTGGAAATCTTCTAATAGATAATATTTATCATATTTTTTATTTATAATAAAATTTGTTTTATGGTTGTAAAAATCTAATTCCTAAGAATTTTATGGAAATATAATTTCATAACTTTCTTTTCTAATTTATAAAGTGCAAAATAAATTTTTATTTATTTTAAATCTTTTAAAGTTTTAAATTAATTTCATATAGTTTCTTTAAAGCATTTTTTAAAAATATTTTTTTTATTAATATCTAGATTTTTTAATTTAAAAGATTGAAATATATTTTATTTATTTGTTATTTTTATACATAAAAAAATAATAATAAAATAATTTATATTAAAACTAAATTCATTAAATAAAATAAGATCAATTTCAAATTAAGTTATAATAAAAGAAAAACAATATTATTTTATTATAAAAATATATTATATATATAATTATTAAATATTAATTTTAATATGAAATTTATAAATATCAATTAATTTAACATTCTCTTTAAATTTTTATATATTTAATTTCTTTACATAAACTAGTTTTTTTATTTTATATAAACGCATAAATATATAGTTTTTTTTACTTTTTATTTAAAAATGAAATAACTTCAAACTTTTCTTCATGGACTTCTAAATCCAATTCATAAAATTAATTTATATCCTCAAAATATTTATCTTCTCATGCTTATTCGGCAGTTTTGCTTTACTAAAGGTTTATATTAAATTTATATATATATTTAAAAAAAAAATATATAAAACAAATAATAAAAATAAATCTTAAAATAAAAATGTTTGCAATAAAAATTATATTTCTATTATATGTCTTTACTATTTAAAATTTCAGCTAATATTTAGTCAACCCAAAATCTACTATATATAATATGCTAATTTCTTAATTTTTTAAAAAACCAATATTTTTAATGATCTTTACATAAACTCATGTATAACTTTTAATCTAAATTATTTGTTTTTAACTCTTTATTAATTAAATATGATAAAGAACATCCATATCATACAGATATGATAATATATTATACGTTTATTGATTCCCATATTTCAGCAACTTAAATTATGTTTTAATGATTTACACTTTCCATAAGCATTATTTCATTATAAAACATTTCCTTATTTTATTTTTCTATAAATAATTTATAAAAAAATTAAATACTAAATAAATCTTTTTGATATATTTTTTTTTAATAAAAATATTTATTTTATCACTGAAGCGAAACTTCAAAAATCTAATTTCATATAAGAGTATATGCTTATTTGAATTTTTATTTAAAATATAAAACAATTTTTAGATTATTTTAATTATTCACATAAAGCTATTATTTCTAATATTTAGCAACTAATTAGATTATTTTAATTTATTCTATCTTATGGTTACTAAGTTTAATAAAGTAAAAATATTAAATCACAATCCAAATAAATTTTTGAACTAATTATTATTTAAAATGCATTTAAGTCTATTTTTTCTAGTAAAGGTAAATTAATCATTTCATTATAACTTTATTCAAAAAGCTTTATTTAGAAATATTTTTATCATAATTATATATAGTAAAATAAAAAAATATTGAATAATTTATAAATTTAACTGATATGTAATGTTAATAACAGAAAATTTATGCTTCAACATAATTTTAGTCTTCATTCCTATTTAAGTGTTATATATTGCTTTTCGAAATATCTGTTGACAATAGTTTAATTTAATTTAATATATAGTCAATATATAATTTATAAAAATGTATATAATTTTTATCATTTAACATATAAATATGAAAATTAAATTTATTTAATTATTATAAATAAAGGTTTTATTAAAAAAATATTATTGTTCTTAAAAATGAAAATATTATTGTTCTTAAAAATGAAAATACTTAAAAATTAAATTTTAACAGGAATATATAAATATAAATCTTCTAAATAAAAACTCATAATATTAGATAAAAATAATTAGTTTTAATTATTATGATTATATTTTTCAATTAATAAAAAAAAATATATTTATTTAACTTTTTAATTATTATATTTATTTTAGGTTAATAGTCTATTTTTATTATTATAATCAATATCAATAATAATTAAATTGACATTAAAGCAAAAAATAAATAAAATGCAAATCATATATAAATATTTTATTTCACAAAATTAATTATATATTTTTATATTTTCTATAGCAAATTTTTTTATTTTTACTAAAATATATTAAAAAAGTAATAAAGATTAAACAAAAAAAATGGAATTTTCAGAAGTTGGAGAACTTAATTACATAATCTAATCGTTTAAAACGATAAATTTATTATAAAATTAATCCAATATTTACTATGATAAATACAAAAACAAATAATTGGATACAATTATATACGAAGAACCATTAGATGAAGAAATTGCAGAAAAAAAATACGAAAATTTGATAGAAAATATGATTTATAATAATGGCAAAAATTAATAAAATGAAGAAACTTTAGATGATATTTTATAGGAGATAAAATAAATAGTTTCTAAAAATTAAGAACTTTAATATTAAATATAATAAATTGAAGAAAATATTATTTAAGAGAATAAAACAGAAAAAAAAAATATATAAAAAGAATAGAATATAATTTAAAATTCTCAACAGTTAGAGGAAAATGAATCAGAAGAACAAAAATAAATAAAAATAGATACATAATAAAATTATGCAAATAATTCCGAATAATCAAATAAATCAACAGATTAAGAAACAGGATATTAAACTTCTTATCATCCTCTAAAAGTTGAAGGCATTTTTTACCCTTTTTAATAGGGTCAATAAAACAATGAAGAAAAATTCGAAAAAGTCACTGAAAATGAAATTTTTTAAAGCTTCAATGAAGTCACACTTAAAAAGATTTCGCTTCTTAAACTATATTAAGAAAATGTAAATACATATATTTTTTTTTAAACATAGTATTTAATCTATAAATATTAATTTTTTTTATTTAGAAAAACGAAAAAGATTTTGTAACTAAAAGATAAATTACAGGTTAAAATATAAAAGAAATAAAAGTAAATAAAAATATATAAAAATTAATAAATTAATAATTAAAATAAAATAAGGTATATTTTTTTGGAACAAAGTTTAATTTATTAATAAAAGCTGATAACTCTATTCAAATTTTAGAATTTATAAAAATTGCAATTGAAGAATATTTATAAAATTCAAACAGTGACAAATCACTTTTAAAATTTCCGAAATATCCTAACGGTAGAAAACTAAATAAAATAAAATATAATTTAATAATATAAAGCCTATGAATTAAGATTATAGGATGAAAATTCACATAAGCCTGATTTAAATATTCCTGCTTTTGACTATAAACGAACTTTAATCCAAACAAATTTCGATTAAACTGTTTTGGTTGAAAATCCAAAATTTTAAGAACCTTAAACTAAAATACAAGATACTTTGTAAAAAAAAGTAGAAATTCCTAAAGGGCTTATGCTTTTGGATATTGAACTTGTTGATTTTGGATTGAAAACTATGATTACTATGAATGAAAAACTTACTGTTGCGGATGTCGTTTAATATGTAATTTAGAAAAAATATTAAAAGTTTTCGGTTAAGGATTGTATTGTACTTTGCTTGGATTAATAAGATATGTAATATAATGAAGTTGATATCAGTACACCTTTATTATAATTGGATTCGACTAATATATAGGTATATTTTAAGTTAATTTTTAAAAAAATAAAAAATATTTAGATAAAGAAAAAAATGTATGCAGATGAAAGTAAACCTTAATAAAATAAATAGCAATAAAATTAAATTAATGCATCTTTTCCTGAGTATAATCATATTGTTTAACCTATTAATGATTATAATTTATGTTAATATGAGGAATTTTCGGTAATTAAGATAAATAATAAAGGAAAAAAATAAGAAAGAATTTTAGGAATTGATTAATATAAAATATAGAATATAAATAAAAATATTTAAAATTAGAGTGTTGGTAAAATTTATTTTCTTTACTTAATTTTTTTTTTTTAAATAGGTTTTCTTGATAGAATATTTTCTGATCCTTAAACTTGTACTAAAAATCCGTTTAGATTAATTTAAAATCTACAAAGTATAATAGAATTTGATAATAAAGTTATAATGAAAGTTATTGATAGTCAAAATAAAATTAAAGAATTAAAATATGTTATTGATAATCAAAATGATAAAATTAGATTGATTAATAAAATTGAAGGTTTGTTATAAAGGTAAAATAAAAAATTAATAAAATATTATTTATTTCATAGGTAATAAAAAAAATAACAAGTTTTTTAAAGCTATTAGACAACATTAAATAGATAAAATAATTGAAATTATAAAATTATAATTAAAGGTTAATATATATAATAAAATAAGTAATAAATATTTTTAGCTTAACTATTTAATTCAATTTATTATTAATGTATAATTTTTAACAAATAAAATTATGAATATTTTTCATTAACAATAATTTAATTTGATATTTTGAATGTATTTTAAAAACAATTATGTAAATAAAAATAAAATAATTTAATAAACTAATTGTTTAATAATATATTTTTACAATTATTTATATTAAGCAAGTTATTATTTTATCTAAAAAAAAAACTAAGTAAATAGCTGATTAAAATAAAATTTTAAAATATGTAATTTTTAAACATCAAAATTATTTAATTAAAAATAAATATTAAATTTTAAATATATATAATAAATATAAGTAAATAATTTAATATTTATTAATAAAATTATTGCAAGATAGTATATATAATATACATAAATTTAATTTAGATAACAAAAAATTTTTTAGTATTAATTTAATTTAGATATCAAGCAATTTTTTTTAATAAAAAATAAATAATTTTAATTTTAAATAAAAAATATATAAATTTTTTATTAAATTATTGATTTTATTATAAATTTAAAATATTAGATTTTATTTAAAGATTAAAAAAATTAAATAAAAAAGCTAAAATGATTAATTTAAATTTTTAAATTGTAATTTTTCTTATTTATAACTATATTTACTATAAAAGATTTTAAAAGTTTATTTTAATTTAATTATTCTAAAAGTTATTAATTAAAATAATAAAAATAAAAAAGTTAAAAAATATATGTAATAAAAGGTATTTTTCCTATTTATTTTCGAGAAGTAGAAGTTTTTATTCAAGCATATTATTCTTTAATCCTTCAGCTAGTTATCCTACATATTATGAGCATCCAGCACTTGAACCTATCATTACTTAATATATTGTTTCATATGTTATTTCTCCCGCTTTTTGATGCCACCTAAATTTAAAAACATTAAATCAAAAATTAATAATTATATATATTTTGTTTTCTTTCATATAAAAATTTAATTAAAAATTAATGAAATTAGCAAAATAAATAAAAAATATTATGAATTTAAATATGAATAAACAAATTAAAATTAATTTATTTTTAAAACAAAAATAAATATGTATATTTTTTTTAAAAAAATTCAATTGTTTGGTATTTTAATAAAATTCCTTAACAAAGTTGATATTTTAAAGCAGATAGTGACCCAAAATAAAGAAAAAAGTTAAACTTTATTATTTTCATATTTTTTTACCATTAAAAAGCCTAATGGATAAAATTACGATTCTGAGGCATTTATATGTATAGGGAATAAAGAATAAAGGTAAGAAATTATAAAGAAAATAATATAATATGAGTATTTTTGAATTTTTTAGGATTTTTCTAAATATTAATTTAAATTTATAATTTATTAATTATTTTGTATATTTTCTTGATTATTTACTGTTTCTCGATTCAATTGTTTTTCTTTTTCTAATTATTTTTATAATTGTAATATTTATCTTTGCATTTTCGAATATTTAACAAAGCTATCAGTATGATTAAATTGTTCTGCTTCTGTTTAAAGTTATTATATTTAAGTTTCTAATTATTTTAAAGGATTCTATTTTTGTTATTCTTATGTTTGCTTTTTTATCTATAATTATTATATTTAACTTTTCGTAGTCAAAGTTAATCTTTCAAAATAATTATAATACAAATCTTATACTAAAAATACTGTTAAAAACTAAAAAAAGAAATAAATCATATTATTATTTTTATTTTAAAGATTTCCTTTTTTTTACTATTTTAAAATAATAATTATAATATAATTTATTTTTTTATATTTAAAAATAAAATATTAAATATTAAATAAATTTTTTTACTATATAACAATTTATTTTTTTTAAATATAAATTATGAAAAAAATTAATTTAAATCAATTTTAATGAAATATTTTTTGAGTGCTTTGAAAATTCAATAAAGTATTTTAATATTACATTGTTTCATATAAATTTTATAAATTATTTTAAAAATTCTAAATCTAAAATTAAAATATCTATTCAAAAAAGTATTTATATAGAATTAACTTAAATAAATTTTCGAAAATCGCTTTTTTTTTATTTAGTTTATTATTATAACTGTTGCTTTTTTTAATTGAATTTTATTTTTAAGATTGTAATATATAGGTGTAAAACATTATTCATTTTTAAATTTGAGATTGTTTCACATTTCTAGTGACAAATAATATTAATATTTAAATATATAATATATTTATATTTTTATAGAGTTTAATTAGAAAAATATGCCTTATGTATAAATAGAAAAATATGCCTTATGTATTGTCATAAATAATAATAATTATTAATTTTCATTATCTTTAGTTTAACCAAATTTTATATTAAAATTAATATGTATAATACATTTATTTCATACTTTTTTTTTTTTCTTAAAATTGTTACTTGTGTTTCTTTCTTATTCAATATTTGAACTTAAATCTTTAAAATATTTTTAATTTTGGATAAAATATTCTTCTGATTAATTATTATCTTCAATTACTTAGAGATTTTATAATCAATTATTTTTGAATAAATTAATTTAATCAAAAAAATTTTTTAATTACAAAAAATATTAATTATAGTTTTTTTATAAACAAAAACTATTTTTGAATATCTTTTTTCAAATTATATGATATAATTATTATGTTTGAATATTATTTAAATTATTTTTATATAAAATTAATTTATTTGAATTAAGATTACTGTCACATTCTTTTATATATTACATATTATAATTTATAATTAAAACTATTATTTAATTAATATATTAACATATTGGAATAAATATCCTTATATTATATCTATAAAACTATATCTCTTTATTTTTAATATTATGACAAATCTCCTGATTTATCTTAATATTAACTCTAAAATCCAATGAGTATTTATCTCAAAATTTTACTACTTTTATTCAAATTTTAAAATTAATCTATTCAATATAATATTATATATAAAAATTATATTCATAAATTTATAAAAAAAAATATAATTTATAATTTAGCAAAAAAAAATGATATACCTTTTCCTTTAGAAATCCGATAAATGCCAATATTTATATGAGAATCATTTTAATGTATATTTCGTTTGGTAAAAAACATTCTTATTATATAATACTAAGAGTTTATATCAAACTTTTAAAGAAATTTTTTTATAAATTAATTTAATTTTTTAATAATTTACCAATAAATTCTAATATTTTCGTTTGAATCTTAATGTAATTTATTAAAAACTTTAACTAAGTATTTATATGAAAATTTTTATTACAAATCAAATAGAGATTATTTTTTGTTTATTAATTATTTCATAAATATATATATTTTTCTAAAAAATTTTATTATAATAATTTTAAATTACTCTTATGATATTAATAAATATATGGGAAAAAAAATTCAAAGTATCTAAATCCTTATAAATGATCAAAATAATGATGGTGTTTGTTTAAAAACAAAAATATTTAACATGTTTTTAATAAAAACCAAAAAAATAATTAATATTTAATTTATGTAGCCAAGAAATAAAAAATCTGATTATATTCTTTATAATATAGCTTTATTAAATTACTGTTCTTAAATTTAATTATAAAATAGATATTGCTAATATATATATATATATATATATATAATTATATATATAAAAAAATATATTTTTAATAAAATATTTAATTATGATTTATTATTATCAATCTTTTTTATATATATATTTATTAAAATTAATTTTAAATATATTTTAAAATTACATATATTTTAATAAAAGATATATTTCAAAAAATTTATTATTTAAATAAATTATGGTTTTTCATATTTACAATATAAATTTTTATAATAAAAATAAAAAAAATATTATATTATGAAAATTAAGCTATTATTAAATAAAACAAAAACTAATAAATATATTATTTATAAAAATATTAAATAGAATTAAAACAAAATATTTATATAAGAAAATAAATTTTTAATTTCTAAAAAATTAATATAAATTATAATATAAATATTTTCTTTTTCTTGATTAAAAAAAGATATACATATAAAAATAATTAAAAAAAAATATATAAATGTTTAAAAAAATAGAAGACGTAAGTAACATTAATCCCCTTAATAAAACGGCATAAAAAAAACTTAGGGAGAAAATAATAGATGCATTTCCATTATTGGAATCGGTTTTGGATGATTTTATGCCCAAAAAATGCACTATAAATAGTCAAAAGTTTTATACTTAGGAACATAAATATGAATTATTTTGGGTTGAAAAATTTCCTGCATTCTTTAAAAATGATAAAGAGGACGAATTATTTCCCACAGTTAGATTGATTCATATGTACCCCGATTTTTTGCCAAGAATGTAAACGGATTCAGGTGCTATTAAATTCATTTTAAATGGATCAAATGTAATGTCTAAAGGTTTATAGACATAAGGCGCATTTATTGATGAGTCTGTTTAAAATAGAAGTATTGTGGCTGTTTATGCATAAGGAAAAGAACATGCTATGGGAGTCGGGAAGTGTACTATGAATGCTTAGGGTATCAGGGAAGCTGAAATCGGAGAAGGGATTATTATGTATCATATTATTGGAGATTAATTATGGCTTTTATAAGAACCTAAAAAAAAGTGATTCTAATATTTTTAAATAATATTTTGTTATTTTTAAAAAATAATATATTTTTGACTTTTTATTTAATTAAATTTTTTTCAATATAAAATATATAAAAAAATATTTATATAAAATTTTTAAAAAATAAATTTTCTTAAACTTATAAAAAGATTAAAAAAAACTTAATAAATTAAAAAAAAAAAAAAATTATTAAATTATTTATTTAAATAAATATAATTAAAATTATTTTTAAATATTAAATTAATAAAATAAATATAAATTAATATCTATTTAAAATAAAAATTAAACATATAAATTATAAAAATTTTATATATTAATGAAATTGAGTTTATTCATTATATTTAAACTAAAGATTAATAATATTAATAAAGAAATATAAAAAAGAATTAAAGATATAAGTAAAAATATATTATTAGCTAATTAAAATATTAACATGTTGTATATGAGGATGTTTTCAATACATAAAAAAATATTTTAATTGAAAACATTTTATAACAAGGAAAAATATTTTTTTAAAAATATAACTAATTAATATTTAATAGATTTATTTTAAAAACCATATTAATGAGATAAAAATAATATCTATATTATTAAAAATTTTTAAATTAATATTAATTTTTTAATTAATTAAATAAATAGTATAACTATTCAAATTATTCTGCTATTTTTAAATTTTTATAAAACATTAAATACATTATATTAATGAATATTAAACATAATTTAAAAAATAAATAATCTTTTAAAATTTTATATGCTCTTTTAATTTTTTATAAAATCTTTCGATATTTTATAATAGATAAATATTATTTTATATTACAATTGTCTCCAATCAATCATAAAATTTTGAATAAAGGTTTAACAATATATTTATTTATATCTAAATAATATTTTTATTATATGTATATATTTTTTTAATTTAAAAAACTTATTTTAAGCTGCTTTGTTGTAATTATTTTCTATTTTTTGTTATTAAAAAATTTAATTTTATATTTTTGATTTAAACTATTAAATTTTATTTTAAAGCATTTTAGCTTATTTAAATTTATTATTTTCTTAAAATTCATAGTTATTAAAATACTGTGAATAGAATGATTATTTTTGTTTTCTGTATTTATTTAAAAAAAATAAAAAATTACAATTTATTATTAAATTTATTATTTTTATACTATTTTTTGTATTTGTTAGATTTATTTTATATATAATTATTCCCAATTATGTTTTTATTTAATTATTCTTCAACTTCTTATAAATTTGATTTAGTATTAAACTTTAAAACATTTTAATATTAATAATAAATAAAAAAATATTTTAAAATAATAAATTTAAGAAAATTTTACTTTTTATATAAATAAATGCTTCTGAAATATCAGATATATATGCTTTTTATTCGTAAATGTTTTCTTAATTAAATAATTTACTGAAATTCTCTAAAACATTAATTTCTAGATATAATAAATATATTGATGCTATTTTTTGGACCTATGCTTTATTAATATTAAATTTGAAATTGATAATTTTAAATGAATTTTGTAATATTTATTAATATAAAAATATAAATCGAATTCTAGAAATTTAAGAGAGTTGTAGATATATTACATTAATATTTTTCTAAAAACAAAGTATTTTTATTTTATTATTTTATATTTATTAATTTAAATTTAGCCTAAAATATTAATAAGTAATGATTATTTTAAATTTTAAAATAATTTTAAAAATACTATCTTAACTTTTAACATTAATTATTTTATCATTATTATATTTATTTAATTTAACTAGCTTAATTATTATTTAGCTTAAATGTTTTATAATATGATACTGTTTATAGAATAAAAGTATATGTTTCTTTTTAATTGTGAATGTTTAAAATACTTGAATTAATTTTCTGTAAATAATTATCAAATATTAAACATTAAATAGAACCTATTTAAAAACATAGAAAAACTAAAATAAAAACAGTATAAAAAATATATAAAAATAGATTGTTAATTAAAAATATTATATATAATTATATTTTAATAATTATATATAACAATAAAATTAAATTTATATTTATAATAAATTTTATATTATTTTTATTTAGTTATTAAATTATTATTAGAAAAACTTTAGATTTTAATTTTAATTATTTTAATATTTTTTTCTAATTTTTTTGTTAAAAATTTGATATAAAATAGTAAAAATATAAGTATTATTTGGATTGGAGTTAGGGTTAAGGTTGGGGTTGGGGTTGGGGTTGGGGTTGGGGTTGGGGTTGGGGTTGGGGTTGGGGTTGGGG